TGTTGCTCGAGGTCATAGGCCGACTAGGTAGAACATACCTGGGCTTACGAACTGTAGGAATCACTTGATTGGGGTTGGAGTGATGGTCTAGCTCTTTTGTAGGACTTGGATAAGCTGCATAGCGTGTAAACCGATGAACTGTGTTCCCGATAGACACATTGCGCATCGTTTTTGCTATCAGGGTTAAGTATGCGCGTAGTATGTTGAGCCGGGAAATTGTCCTGCACTGTCCTACCTTAAGGCAGGCATTAGAGCACGCGGCTCTCTCGATATGCCATTTTTGTGTTAATAGATGGCTAATCTCACGTTCTGAAGTTGCGAGGTCGGAAACTCCGAAGTCGATGCATTTTGCTGTCTACTGCCTATAACGACTTCGATGAATTAACTCCCGCGTTGTGACTCCTATAACTTGCCCGCAGAGCCCACAGTAAACCTTTTGAAATGCAAACATTCTCATTTTTTGCCTGCTTATTGAATATCTTTATTATACACCCGCTGTATTTTAGAAAATTCCTGCCCATTATTTAACTTTTGGACGTTTTGATTTGTTCCATCAACATCGTCCTTTCCAAGATGTCCTCAATTAAATTTTGTAGGTTAATTACCAGCATTGAACGTTGTTTTCCAGTTAGATGATTTGTACCTGATCAAAACGAGTGCTTGAAGAAGATTTATTTTGACACAGATACGCAATTTCAGTTCGGCGAATGGATGGTGAGCTAGAACTCTTGCGCGAAACCTTTCCCGAAACACTTTCAGTCAAGGATTTGTGAGTTCGCTTATTGCAACATATAAACTACATGGCTTTAGAGGAAAAGGCCACAGCATCTCGTTGGTTATTCATCCAGCAGTTGAACCAAGTAATGTTCAGGTCTCAATTCAGTTGAACATTTTCTGTCCTGTCACAGTACACTTGCCTATTTTTCGCCTTACCTGTTAACGAATTTAGTATCCGTCTGAAGCTCCCACAACTAGTCTCCGAAACGCCATTGGACTCTCTGAAATCGATGTCGAGCAGCTGAACACTCTTTTAGCCAATATACTTGAAGCCAGCAAAGGCGAATTGGTTATATTTCCCCTTATTGAGGTGACTTCTTCTAGTGATCCTTTTTTTATTAGCTCAACTATGCAGGCAAAAATGTAAAATTTTAACTCTTGAATGAGGCAGTTGTTTGGCACGACAATTGCCGGATCGTTTAGCATCCATCCTTCAGGCATTTTCTTCTATGCTCTCCGTTGCTATTTTATTTCATCATAACTTATCGTCTTCAGTGCGAAAATCATTAATTTTGTTTGCTATTGGGTTACTAGTAAACTGTTGGCCGAACTTTCATA